AATACATAATAAAAAAATTCATAAATAAATAATACAGGAATATGTAATAATAAATAAACAAACAAACAAACAAATACATAAATAAATAATAAGCTCTAACCTTACCCCCTAACCCTAAAAATAAAAATAATAAACATAAAGAAATACATAAATTACCACCCAAAACACCCTAATCCTAAAAAAAAAATAATAAAAAAAAATAAATAATAAGACAATAAATAAAAGAGTAACCCTGAAGCCAAACCCCCATAAATACATAGATAAAAATAATTATAAATAAATAATACATGAATATGTAATAATACATACACAAATAAATAAATAATACGCTCTAAACCTTACCCCCTAACCCTAAAAATAATAATAATAAACATAAAGAAATACATAAATTAACACCCTAACGCCCTAATCCTAAAAAAAAAAATAGTAAAAAAATAATAATAAATAATTAGACAATAAAGAGTAACCCTGAACCCAGACCCCTAACCAACACCTAACCCCTAAACCTAAACTTAAACCCTAATCCCAACCCTAACACTTAACCCCTAACCTTAAATCTAATCGCTAGCTCTAACCCCAAACCTTAATCCTAACCCCTAACCCTAACTCTAACCCCTACACCCCGGTCACTTTGGGTGCGACTTGGGATGCGATTTGCATGCCATGGGACCTGCAAATCGTATGTCAAGTTGAACCCTATTGTCCACAATCGGTGCGGTTCCGACTTGGTTGGAGCCGCACAGATTTTTAAAATAGTGCATTACTTTTGGTGCGATTTGCATAGACATCTGTGTCAGATGCAAGGGCAGACTGACCATTTGGAAACTCGGGCACTGCCCGAGGGCCTAGGGGTCAGTAGGGGGCCCCATGAGATGCCCCTGATACCTTTTTTTTTTTCATAGGCTTTTTTGAGTTTGGGCAAGGACACAGGGGCCCCATGATCCCCTATTGCCCAGGGGCCCCATGAGTTGTCAGTCTGCCCCTGTGTCTACCTCAGGGAAGTCAACAAAGTCTAACTGAATTTTAAATCAGATCTACATGCTAATATTTTAACAGTCTTGCCAGGTTGGATAATAAAGAGGGCCCCATGATCCCCTTTTGCCCAGGGGCCCCATGAGTTGTCAGTCCGCCTATGGCCCCTGGTACCTTTTTCATAGGCTTTTTTGAGTTTGGGCAAGGGCACAGGGGCCCCATGATCCCCTATTGCCCGGGGGGGCCCCATGAGTTTTCAGTCTGCCCCTGGGCTGGAGGAAGTATCAATGGAGTACAAGTGTGGTGTTGTCACAGAACCTGTGCTCTCTTGTCCCTATGCTGGGGTAACACATGGGACTTGTAGTCTCTCTATTCACAGATCTCTGAATGGATGGCACTCCGCACAGCCATGCCAAAAAACTACAGGAACCTGCAAGAAGAATGAATCCTGAGATTCAGTTAGGCCAGGGTCACACCCATGCATTTTTTTGTGCGTTTTGTGATTTGCAGAAATGCACTACAATCCATTTAACATGGTTTCCTATGGGACACGTTCACATCTATGCATTTTCAGCGTTGATCTTTTGGAAAGAATCCGGGACTTTTTTTCCCGCAGCAGATTGCATTTTTGGTTCAATAAACTTCAATGGAATTGCACCAAGTGTTGCGTTTTTAATGCGTTTTGTGTTTTGCATTTTTGGCCAATAGGAAAGTATTCATTGCTAGTTTGATATGACTTTGATGTGAAAGGACCCTTAGGTGGGCTGGGGGGGGGGGGGGGGTGCTGCACACACAGTAGGTAAAAAACCTTGTGCTTTAAACCACTTTGAACATTTCTTTCATTAGCTAAATGATAAAAAATGGTCCGACGATTCCCCCATCTGATGTGGATGGAGGAGTCACTCCCTGCTGGAGGGGAGCCTTCCCCACCAACAGAATGCAATGATCAGTGTTGCCAGCTATAGCCGGCAGCACTGATTGTTCGGGAAAAACCCGACAGGCTGGTTGTACACAAGATGATCGATAGACCGTACATGGATCGAAATTCGCCTGCTCCCCACTGAACCTGCAGGACCTGTCAACGTCCTATTGCTTTCAATTGGGCTTCTGTCCGCAGCTAATCACTGGAAACCCAATCATTAATGGCCCCATTTTCAAGTGTGCAAGGGGCCCCAATACTGACTACTGTCAGTGACTTGAGTAGTCACTGGGTATTGTAGAAGGTGTCCTAGAAGGTGTCAACCAAACTGATAGGTGTTTATATCCCCCCATGCTGCTCAGAGGAAAGTCTTGGTATGCTTTGTATCCTGAGGCTAAACATATAACTTCATTAAATCACCTTGTGTACTGGAGACCCCATAGACATGTAACCTTTTATTCACATGCAAATGTTCTGAGCATCCTGATGTTTGCATGAAATACAATTCAGTTAGCCTGCTAGACTGCTCATTTGACTATGAATGGTTTTCCACCTGTAGCCTATGAACACACCAGGTGGATCTGGGATGGTTTTCATTTTCCGGGGTGGGGGGACCAAGCTGGGACCTGTTCAGGGAGAAATACAGGGCTGCCATTACTGGCTTACTGAATCTGCTATTTGCCTGGCTGCCCAAACACAATTTCTTCTACGCTCTAGGACCCAGGCGGGTGGCAAATAGATGGAACCAGAACTGGAAAAAAGCGACCACCAGTGCATCAAAGGTTGTGCAGCTCCAAACAAGGCTGGGGAAGCCCGACCAACACTGCAAAGCGAAACAAAAACGAGAAGCGCACAAACCTTGCGCATTGCCTCAGTAAACAAAAATGTATTAATAAGAAAGGTACTCACAAACAGCAAATAAAATCAGGCATGTAAGTCCTCACGGGGACTTCAAAGATAAGGAGCCAGCGCGAGTCCCATCGTGGTGGTAGACACTCAGTTCATCTGACGCGTTTCGAAGGCCAAGCCTTCTTCATCAGAGCTCTGGTTTGGCCTTCGAAAAGCATCAGATGAACTGAGTGTCTACCCCCACGATGGAACTCGCTCTGGCTCCTTATCTTTGAAGTCCCCGTGAGGACTTACATGCCTGATTTTATTCGCTGTTTATAAGTACCTTTCTTATTAACACATTTTTGTTTACTGAGGTAATGCGCAGGGTTTGTGCGCTTCTCGTTTTTGTTTCGATTTGCCTGGCTGCTACAGGCTTTCAGAGCCACTGATCCGGCTATAGCATGCATCTGCTCTACTCATAATCCGCATACTCAATGTTGGTGACTCAGAGAGCATTGAAGCCACAGGATCAGCATTTTCAGGAGGAGGTTAGCGATGGAAGCTGTACTTCTCAGACACTTGTCACCACAACAAGTGTCCCCAATGGAAGATTTCCACAACGTCCTGTTCCGGTGACAACTCTTTGGATTTTCCTTTTACGTCCATTCCCAGCCGGCAGTATAAATTGTGGTGGACCTCCCTAGTGAACACATGGTCTCGGATAAAAACCTGACAGAGGTTCTAATCCTTTTCCATCCTAACAAAAAAAAAAAGTTTTGGGGTTGGATACACCTTAAGTGATACTAAATGCTACATTTTGGGGAGTTTAAGTTAAAAAGTTGTTATTCTTACCAGTTCTGTGCAGTTTATTTATTTCAGGTGCTGTCAATTTATGCAGTGCTTTACATATATATAGTACATTTACATCAGTCCCTAACCCTCAAGGGGTGTACAATCTAAGGTCCCTAACTTTCATACATACACATACTAGGGCCAATTTAGACAGGATCCAATTAACCTACCAGCATGTCTTTGGAGTGTGGGAGGAAACTAGAGTACCTGGAGGAAACCCACACAGGCACGGGGAGAACATGCAAACTACAGGCAGGTGGTGCTGTGGTTGGGAATTGAACCAATGACCCGAGTACTGCCAGGCAGAGGTGCTAACCATTTAGCCACTGTGCTGCCCAATGCTGTGCATTGATATTGAATAGAGATGTCCCTTACCTCCTCTTCTGGCAGTCTCCTGCTGTCAACTTCTCACTGCTCCGGGTGCCTCCTTAGGAAGCTGGGTGCTAAGGAGGTACCCCAGGCATGTGTGCTCCCGAGCCCTCTGGTGAGCCATGCTCCTGTTCCCTCCTAACTGGAGCTTGACTGACAGCAGTGGGAGCCTATGACCCCCGCTGCCCCCAATGTCTGCTGTGAAAGCAGGAATAGAGGGGAGCGATGCTGTGACAGGTAGTGGGGTGCTTGATAGCATCCTTGACCTAGCAAGAAATGCAGCATCCTTGTCATTTCCTGAAAACTAAAACAGTAACCAGCATGTTATCTTTCTTTTGTAAACTACTAATCCCATCAACCCCCCATGTAATTGAAATAAACAAAAAATGTTTGAAGGCCAATCTGGGCGACAATCATGACCTCCTCCATAGACAAAGTAGAGGAGTTAGCATAGCCACCCAATAATAGGAATTCTGTTTTTCACAGGATCACCAGGTGAAAATAGGAGAAAAGAAGCCTAAAAAAAAAGAAAACTAATGCAGCCACCTAATACAGGGACTGATAAGCTGCAGTATATGTATATTTTTGAGTTTAGATGCACTTTAAAATGTCAATGGTATTTCAAAAGTAATTTTCAATGTTCTTAACTGTGCAGATTGTATTAAAATAATATCTATTAATCCTGCCATGAAAGTCATTGTTTGGGTACTTCCTGTTATAGGGTGATAACATTCTGTCCCTGTCACCTAATTGCTCTTCTGCTTTGTCACCCTGTCACATGGGCTTCCTACACATTATACAAGCATGGTCCACTGTTGTTCACCAACAACAAACCCATCCAGAGAAATCCAGACGTAATGTTCCCTATTATCTGATCCCGCCATGGGGAATATCAGCTAGGTCCAGTTCTAGGGTGACGCATGCACAGCCTTTCAGAAAGGGTTTGACATCTTAGCTTGAATGCATCATGATATAAACATATCTTTCCCAACCTTACACCAGAGGGACCTTTGATATAATATTCAGATCTCAGGGAACCTGTACTAAAATTAATTTATGGTGGTCAGTGGTAAGAATGCCCCTTATATTGGTGGTCAGTGGGAAGAATGCCCCTTACATTGATGATCGGCAGGAAGAATGCCCCTTCCATTGATAATCAGTGGGAAGAATGCCCCTTACATTGGTGGTCAGTGGGAAGAATGTTTCTTACATTGGTAGTCAGTGCAAAGAATGCCCTTTACATTGGTGGTCAGTGTGAAGAATGCTCCGTACATTGGTGATCAGTGTGAAGAATGTCCCTTACATTGGTTGTATGTGGGAAGAATGCACCTTACATTGGTAGTCAGTGCAAAGAATGTCCCTTTCATTGGTTGTATGTGGGAAGAATGCCCCTTACATTGGTAGTCAGTGCAAAGAATGCCCACCTTACAGACATCTAAAAAGATCATTGGTGTCATGTCGTTGGCTCTGCCAAGTGGCATTGGATCTGGAACTATCCAGGCACCATTAGATGGGAGGTCAATCAGCCACAGCTCAAGGAACCCATAGGAACCTTTCAAGGAACCTTGGTAGAGAAAAGAATGCTCCTTACATTGGTAGTCAGTGCAAAGAATGCCCCTACATTGGTGGTCAGTGTGAATAATGCTCCTTACATTGGTGGTCAGTGCAAAGAATGTCCCTTACATTGGTGGGCAGTGTGAAGAATGTCTCTTACATTGGTGGTCGGTGTGAATAATGCTCCTTACATTGGTGGTCAGTGCAAAGAATGTCCCTTACATTGGTGGCCAGTGTGAAGAATGTCTCTTACATTGATGGTCAGTGTGAAGAATGCTCCTTACATTGATGGTCAGTGTGAAGAATGCTCCTTACATTGGTGGTCAGTGTGAAGAATGTCCCTTACATTGGTGGTCAGTGGGAAGAATGCCCCTTACATTGGTGGTCATTGGGAAGAATGTCTCTTACATTGGTGGTCAGTGTGAAGAATGCTCCTTACATTGATGGTCAGTGTGAAGAATGCTCCTTACATTGATGGTCAGTGTGAAGAATGCTCCTTACATTGGGGTCAGTGTGAAGAATGCTCCTTACATTGGTGGTCAGTGTGAAGAATGCTCCTTACATTGATGGTCAGTGCAAAGAATGTCCCTTACATTGGTTGTATGTGGGAATAATGCCCCTTACATTGATGATCATGGGAAGAATGCCCCTTACATTGGTGGTCATGGGAAGAATGCCCCTTACATTGGTGGTCAGTGCGAAGAATGTCCCTTACATTGGTTGTATGTGGGAATATTGCCCCTTACATTGATGATCATGGGAAGAATGCCCCTTACATTGGTGGTCATGGGAAGAATGCCCCTCACATTGGTGGTCAGTGCGAAGAATGTCCCTTTCATTGGTGGCCGTGGGAAGAGTGCCCCTTACATTGGTGGCCGTGGGAAGAATGCCCCTTACATTGAAAGTCAGTGCGAAGAATGCCCACCTTACAGACATCTAAAAAAATCATTGGTGTCATGTCGTTGGCTCTGCCAAGTGGCATTGGATTTGGAACTATGCAGGCACCACTAGATCAATCAGCCATAGCTCAAGGAACCCATAGGAACCTTTCAAGGAACCTTGGTAGAGAAAGACTCAAGCCCAGGACAGGCAGGACGCTAATAAGATATGTAACCTACATCCAACGTCTGCATTTACAATGGGGACATTTCTGGAAGGGTGTACAGTATGTAAAGAATTAAGAATTTTCGGGAAACTATATTTGTCCAACTCTTCTAAATAAGCTGCTTTTTGCAAACGATGTCATCTACAGGAGGTGCGGTGGTAAATGTAAATGGTAGCTCACAACCCTGGTTAAAAAGAACAGACAAGGGCGCACTCTCATCGTGCATTACCGTGTTATACCACGTGTTTATTAAATAGACAAAATGGATGTATACTCACAAACCAACGATATTAAAAGCAGTGTATGTGGTCCACAAAAACAGTCACAGAGATGCTGTGTATTTTTTAAGTCTGCATGAGGATTGGAGCGCTGGTTTCGTTTGTCTAGCTCACAACCCTATTTACAAACACAGTCTTCTTCACCAAAAATAATTGTTTAAAATAAAACCCTTCTTCGGTATTCCGCCCCATTGCACTAAACAGACAACCAATGTTACTGGTGGGTTTCCAAAGGGATCTGGGAATGCCGATAATTCTTTGTGAGTTATGAAATGCCTCTTTTTTTTTTGTAAACTCTTGGCAATACTCTGAATTGTTTTCCTGCGGCATTCCACTCACGTTTTAGAATGTGGTCTCCTTACCGCGAGTTGTCATGTGATAAAATTGAAACTTGTAGGGTTTTTTTTTTTTTTTTTATCTTTTAAGGGAAATTTGAAAAAAGGGATTCGATGATAATGACGTCTGCAGGGGACTTTCAAAAAGGGACTTTCCTTTAACCCCTCCCTTGCTGGAAGCGGGCTTGCATGCAGCGAAGCAGCCCAATGGTACGAAAGGGGTTAACACACACCCCCCCCACCTCCTTTGTGCATGGTAATAATGCATGTCCCAGCTCTACACACCAGTAGATGGGGGAGGATATACTGGGAGTGGAATCGGATTACACATCCTGCCTGGGAAGGGAGAGCCTGACTCAGAGGGAAGGGGGGGAGCTTGCTATCTCACTTGCTCATATCATTGCTAAAGGGATCACAACTGATTCTGTGGGATCTAGGCAATCAACAGGTTTTGGAGGACTTTTGGTTGGCTTTATTTGTGTTTGAAGACTTTATTTTCTGGACCATGTGAGGGGGAGACACTTAAAATGGCTGAGAGGTAAGACTGGGGCTAGGGGTGGACAGAAAGTCTTTCATATGGGTCTTGGTGGTGCCGCTGATGGTGTGGCTGAAGTTCCCAAGTGTGACAAAGCACTCCAGGGGGTTGTGTTAGTAGGACTTCTCTGCTCCAGAGCTGGTTAGTGGGACTTCTCTGCTCCAGAGCTGGTTAGTGGGACTTCTCTGCTCCAGAGCTGGTTAGTGGGACTTCTCTGCTCCAGAGCTGGTTAGTGGGACTTCTCTGCTCCAGAGCTGGTTAGTGGGACTTCTCTGCTCCAGAGCTGGTTAGTGGGACTTCTCTGCTCCAGAGCTGCCCATGAAGGCTCTTTTCCCACAGACTAGACCTGACCCAGTATACGGTGGCTGATCTCATGGCTGCCCACCACTTTACCCAACTTTGGAATCTCAACTGAACTCCCTAAGGTCTGGTACGGAATTGGTTGTAGACCACGTATCCATGTGTTGTTCAGGTTGTTGGATTTGTTTGGTTGTTTGAGGAACAAGCCATGCGTGTTGTGAGTTATTATTGTTACTGGTGGAAAATATTTTTGAATCTGAACATAACAATGTCAACTATTTCTTTTCAAGTATTTTTTTAATCAAAGTTTGTTTTGTACAGTATATGTGCTTTAGTAACTAAGGAAAGAGTTGTAAAACCTATAACGCCACATTCACGCATTGATATTTTAATGTGCTAAAGCGCAAGTGTCGTCAGAGGCGATGTAATAGCCTGCTTATATCTCTTCTCTGTAGCGTGTTTCTTTTAAAAAAAAATAGCTCGGGTTTTTTGAGAATTTTTTTTTTTTTGGGTGCCGTCATGCGTTTTGAGGCCCATGGATGTCAATGGTAATGTATAAAACCGCTGATGCGATTTGCATGCTTTTTCATGCGTTTCAGCCCCTACTAATAAGCATTAACCTGGGTACACGCTTTGGAGTTTTCATGTTCTCCCTGTGCGGGTTTCCTCCGGGTACTCCGGTTTCCTCCCACCCTCCACAGACATGCTGGTAGGTTAATTGGATCCTGTCTGAATTGGTCCTAGTATGTGTATGTATGAATGTAAGTTAGGGACCTTAGATTGTACGCCCCTTGAGGGTTAGGGACTGATGTGAATGTACAATATATATGTAAATACTGCATAAATTGATGATACTATACAAGTACCTGTAGTAGTAATCACAAAATCGTAAGAAAAATTTTGTACAAGGAGCGATCGGTCGATTATCGGAATGCTCATATAGTCTTCTTAACAGCCAGACAAAAACTGAGTGTTCGAACAAAAAAAAAAAAAAGAAGGTGCAAGCTAGAAAATTTTTATTGTAAGCGAACACAACTTGCAATGTATACAGTAATCGTATGAAAATAATCAAATCGAAAAAGATGCGCAAGATCAGGAGCAAATAACAACGCAGAAGAAGGTGGCAACTAACATAGAAATTGTACACAGGAAAGAACGTTTGTCTTTCTGTTCAAAAATGTTTGCGCGAGTTAATACCGTTGTCGGTTACATCACGATATGCACTTTCGTGGAAAATCAAATGATTGTTTGTCTGATTTTTCTCAGTGTGTACCCCACTTTATGCTGAACATACACTAGTAGATTTTCAGATGAGAATATTTGTTCAAACAGTTGTACAAAAAAATTCTTTGCACATTCGATGAACGAATGTCTGAAAATGTCACTTGCTTTTTTAATGTTTTAAAAATGATTTTTCAAAGTCATTTTAAAATGAATGTAATTTCTGACCAAAAACCGCATACTGTCCAAAAATTTGTTCGATCAAGAAAAGCTTTTTTCGGATGGAAATATATTGTTCGAGCAGTTGTACAAAAATTCTTTGCACATTCGATGAACGAATGTCTGAAAATTTCACTTGCTTTTTAATTTCCAGTTTTAAAATTAATGTAATTCCTGAACGAAAACTGCATACACTGTCCAAAAATTTGTTTGATAGAGAAAAGTTTTCATCCTGCTCCTTTTTTGAATTTTCCCGTCACTGCGGGTGAAAAACGAGCGTCAATTGGACCCCATGATTAGAAAATTGAATGAATGTTCTTAAAACAAAACTTTTCTAATGAAAGGCTATATGTGTATGGTCAGCATTGGTTAGCCAACATTAAAAAAGCATGTGCAATACATGCATTAACACACATGGACAAATGCATTAAACATAAGAAAATGTTCTGCGGGACTTTTCATATTGAGAAAAATTTGTAAACCAAAACATGGTTTCCAATAGGAATGCATTGAGAACCAATTAATCCGTTCCGGGGGTCAGAAAAAAGTAAAAATAAAGTCTTCTCTGTTCAAAACTCTATATAAAGTGCACTTTAATGGCATAAATACTGTACAGCGGCATGATTAAAAAAAATTAGTAAATGCATTGAAAACCAATTAATCCGTTCATATTGCGAAAAAAATTTGTAAACCAAAAAGTGGTTTCCCATAAGAATGCATTAAAAACCAATTAATCCGTTCTGGAGGTCAGAAAAAAGTAAAAAAAAAAAAAGTCTTATATGTTCAAAACTTTATAAAGTGCACTTTAAAGGCATAAATACTGTACAGGGACATGATTAAAAAAAAATTGAAAACCAGTTAATCCGTTTTGTATTGCGAAATAAATTCGTAAACCGAGGCATTATTTTCATTCGTAAATCGAAAATTACGTTAACCGAGGCAGGCCTGTATTTAGTTTTACTTTTTAATTAAAACAAAACTACATCCGCAGTGCTGCTGCCCATAGCAACAAAAGCAGCATTGGCTTTAATTTTTCAATGTCCTTGACAAAGAAAAAAGTGGGGCCCGCTTGGTAAAGTGGAGTTTAAAATGGAGATATTGGCTGTAACACTAATGGGATGCTTCTCTTGGCAGCCAGCAAAGGACTCAATCCATGTTTATACACAGGAAAATGCATTTAGGGCCGGTTCACACTAGAAACTCAGTCCATATGCGTTCCGGCTGCGTTTTTGCATGCGCGTTTTTGACACGTTCTAGTGTGTGTTTGTTTTTTTGTGTGTTTTTTTTTTTGGGTTTTTTTTCTTTTCTTTTTATCTGAACCTGGAAGCACTGATGTGAACTATGACATTGACCACCATATAACCTACTTTTCTGTCAGTTTTGGATGCAGAAAAACAACTGAAACGCATGTAGTGTGAACTGGCCCTGAAACTTTTGCTCATGTTCGGCGATGGATCTGTTCACACTTCAGCATTTGTGGTGCATTTAGGGCCAGTTCACACCGTATGCAGTCCAATATGTTTTTATTCTGCATCAAAAATGCATTGATAGTAGGTTACATGGTTTCATGGCATAGTTCACACCAGTGAAGTCAGTTGGAGTGCATTACAGTTCCAGAAAAATAAGTAGAACATGCTGCTTTTTTTTTTTTTGTCGTAATGGAACACAGTAAAATGCACCGGAATGCACCTAAACGCATGTCCTTATTTAAGTTAAAGAAAAAGGGGAAAAATGCACCGGAATGCATTAAAAATGCATTCAGAACACACCAAGACTGCGTTTCTATGGTGTGAACGAGCCCTTAGCGTTGCGCTCCCAAGGTTTTACCATACCAGTAAAAGTTGGGCAGCACAGTGGCTAAATGGTTAGCACTTCCGCCTGGCAGTACTAGGGTCGTGGGTTTGAATCCCAGCCACGGCACCTCCTGCCTGGGGTTT